GGAGGGGCAATTTTTTTCTATGGTGCATTTAATCTGGGGATGGGAAGTACTCCAAAGTGCGTGGTGGATGGTGCTGTCCTCCCACCACCGTTTCCCGACTGTTCAATTTAGCTAATTTTATTTATTTTTTGCTCCGGTGGTGGTTCATCTTCTGCAATGCAAACTGCTTTCAGACAGCAAATTGAATTAGCAATTTAGTCCCATCGACAATGAGAATGATGATCGGTTCGTCAAATGGTTGCAATAGTAGGGCTTTAACCAAAATGATACATTTGCTGCAATGAAATATCCCAAGAAATAATTTGTAATCCCAACAGCTCTACTTTCATTTACCATAGAGCTGATTGGGAGCAATATCGAACATTTATGGAATATAACTTCGATCCAAACATTCCTTTGCAAACCAAAGATGAAATTAATTATGCTCTTGAATCTTTGACTACTTCTATAGTTGAAGCAAGAGCGGCCTCAGTACCAAAATGCGAGGTTAAATTCGATTCAATTATAATAGACGACGATCTTCAGCTCTTGATCCGTCTTAAAAATGTCCGTAGGAGACAATATCAAAAAACACGCGATCCTACCATGAAAATTATCTGGCGGGATTTGCAAAAACAAATTTAAAAGCGATTCTTTGCCCTGATGAACAAAACTTTTGAAAATAATGTTTCTAAATTAGACCCGAGTTCCAAACCCTTTTGGAAACTCACAAAAATTTTGAAAAAAAAACCTCAAAAACCTATTCCAGCGCTTAACGGTGGTAAAATTTTGATCACAAATTTGGAAAAAGCTCAGAAACTTGCTAAGCAATTCGAGAATTCCCATAATTTTAGTTTGGGTCTTACTAGTCCTATTGAGAATCAGGTTGCTCGGAATTATCTGAATATTTTCTCTCGGGAAAATATTTTTGATGATTACTGGGGGACTGATTCGGACGAAGTAAGCTAGAATGATGCGAAATTATCTAAATGAGCTAGAAATTATCCTCGGAATTCGCTTGAAATTTTGCTTAAAATCCCTTTGGAATTTCATTCCAAATTTGATTTTCTCGTTATTCTTTTCGAAATTATCTTGGAACTATCTGCAGGATACACTAGAAATTATCCTCAGAATTTTATTTGAATTCTCTCCAGAAATATTTTGGAACTGTCCTTGAGGTTCTAATCGGAATATTTTTGAATTTTTTTTTCTCAGAACACCTTAGAACTGGAATTCCCCTAAAGTTTCAAAAGAATTTCCTCTGTATTCTCAGAATGAGCTTGAAATTATCATTGGGATTCCCTTTAAATTTTCCTCAACATCCCTTTGGAACTTCATTCAAAATTTAATTCTATCGGTATTCTTTTCGAAATTATCTTGGAACTATCTGCAGGATTCACAAAAAATTATTCGCAGAATTTTCATCAAATCATCTCCAGACATCTTTTCTTTTGGAATTGTCCTCAGAATTCAATACCCTTGAGGTTCTTCTCGGAAGTCAAGTTTAAGTTGTCCGTCAATTCATCAAAACGTTGTAGTTTTTCTATCCAAAATTTTCAATAAAGCTTGCCCCTCCATTCACCAGAACTGTGCAATTTTTACATCAGGAATTTTCAATTCAGCTTGTCCCTCTATGCAGCAGACTGTTGCAAATCTTACACCAGAAATTTTTAATACAAACTTGCCCCCAGGTAATTTTACACCAGAAAATTTTAATTGACCAGAACGCTGCCAATTTTCCACCGTTAATGTTCAATAAAAATTGCTTCTCCAATCTTCTGATTGGTGCAGATTTCCTTTTTCCACTAGACATTTTCAATAAAGATTGCTTCTCCTATCATCAGAAAGTTGCAGGTTTTTCACCCCTATTTTTAGATTTTTCATCATAAATTTTCAGTATAGCAGCTTCCCTCCAATCATCAGAATGATGCAAATTTTACGCCAGAAATTATTATTAAAATTTGTTTCTCTATTCAGCAGAGGGATGCAAATATAAGACCAAAAAATTTTCGAAAAGCTTGCCCATCTGTTCACCAGAACGGTGCAGATTTTCTACCAGAAATTTTCAATATAGCTTAATTTCAAAATAAGCTTGTGCCTTCATTTACCAGACCAGTGCGAGTTTTCCACCAGAAATGTTCTGTTCATTTCTTTTATCAGAGCGATGCAAATTTTGCACCAGAAATTTTCAATAATGCATGGTCCTCCATTCACCAGAACGGTGCACCAAAAATTGTCAGTGAAGTTTGTTTTACCATGCACTTTTGTGGTGCATTTTTCAGGCTTTGCCTCTTTATGCACCAGAATGGTGCAAGTTTTCCACCATAAATTTTCAATGCTTGCATTCATCAGAACGATGCCAATTATGCACCAGAAAAATGAATAAACCTTGCTTCTACATTCACCACAGTGTTGCGAACTTTCCACAAAAAAATTTCAGTTAAATGTGCACCTCCAAATTTTTAGCGTGATTAAATTTTTCCACCAGAGCTATTTATTTTGATTAGTCCCTCAATGTCCCTTTTTACACCAGAAATATTCAATAAAACTTTTTCTTCGATTTACCACCATGAAGGTGAATTTTTTTAACCTTAAATTTACCCTCTTCTTTTAACTCTCCATGAACAACCGTGAAAAAAAAAATTACACTAGATTTTTTTTGTATACACCTCTGTGGTGCAATTTTTTGACCAAAAAATTTCATTGAAGTTTGTCCCTTCATGTACCTTTGTGGTGCAATTTTCAGGCACCATCTCAAAGGATTTGACGCAATAAATGGTTTTCTGTGCTTATATGTGAAATGAAGTTATTTTACCTTCAAATCAAGTTATCAAGAAATCAAGTTACACTAGAGTCGCTTTTTACGCGGGGGATACGTGCCGCGTAAAAAAAACGCGTAAAAAAAACTACCGAGATTTTGATTTTTACATGTTTAAATATTTTTTATAAATCGGATTTTGATGCCATTCGTTATTATAGCATGCTATGGTCCATATAGACATATTTTAAAAAATTCTGTATTTACACCAAAAATTGTGATTTTTTTAAAAGTACGCCATTCAATTACCTATAGTGAAACGTATAATGTGATTGGAATCAAGTCGATAGGTCGTATCGTTGTCGAGAAATCGTTAAAAACATACCGCGTAAATTGCGACTCAGCGGCACTAACCGCGTAAAAAAAAACCGCGTAAAAAAAACCGCGTAAAAGGCGACTCCAGTGTATTTTATATCATAATTTTGTAAATGTGGAAATAGAAATATTATTTATAAAAGGTGGGGCAATTGCCCCCACCTTGCCCCACCCTGTGCACGCCAGTGGAACCGAACAAAAGGGAACTCTGGGAAGGGTTAATGGAAAGTTCGGGAAACTTGCATCCCTAAATGTATGTAGACAGTTCTACTTCAGTATCAGTTCTCCAATGTTCTACCCTTTGAAAATCAGACAATTTTTCATAACATCCTCATAAAGTTCGCTAAACTGCTAGCAACCCAAAAAATGGGACAATGTTTTTTGTTAATGATAACGATCAAAAGAAAAATGCAGTCTACTTTGATTATCTCGGTATTCCGTATCAAGATAAGTGACTACTTTTTTCTTTATGTCGATGGTGTTTTCGGTTCCTTCAGCCTGTCTAGTGGTAGAGTTCACAAACTACTGATGGATGTTGTTTGAACTCTAAACAGCTTCATAAACTCGCGATACACCAATATTGAAGTATAAGATGGGTAATGTTATGTAAGGGTCAAAATCTAATCTAATCTAACACCAACACCGCCAATTCTTGAAAGCATCCTGGAAAATGATTGATATACCCGCGTCATTTTCCTTGCCTATTTGATATATGTTTCACATCGAAGATGCGTCCCTCATACCAAAACGGCCCGGCCTACTGTGCCGCATTTAAGGGGCAAGATGCTTCAAAAAACATCCACCAGAATCCAATAAATGGATGAAACGTAGACAACTCGGGTAGATGAATGGTTCCTAACCGGTAACTACTCTAAAATCCGACCGGCAAGAGAGCACGATGGGGACTGATCATCAATATTTATTGTTTTCAGACTGATGAGCTTTTATCTTATCCGCAAGAGTCTGTTATACATTATACAAAATACAGAATACTCTCGGGTCACCCCTAGTTAGTTGATGGACAAAACAAGATGATAGATTTTATGAAATCCGTTGTCAGTGGAAAACTCATAAGAGCAAAAAGAAAAAAAAAATCCCCTTTCTCCAAGTGTTGTGGACTTGTGATTATACGAAAATAGCAATAATCACTCTTGTTAGCAGTGAATCATAAAGCATAACGGTCATAATGATGAATGCATAAAAATATGAATAAACATCGATAAATTATCTCCACAAAACCACACACACTAAAAATAAAGCAATGCAGGCAGTCCTTTCATATTTATAATTATTGTTTTAATTTCTGCTACACTTAACTCGTTTAACATCCTCATACGTACGGTTGACCCTGTCCGGTAGAATCACCCGCTGTAGAGCACCTAACGTTATCCATTCGAACTCTCCGGGTCTGGAAGCCAGCAATCGACAGAGGACAGGTGGGAAAGTCCGGGGGTTCATTATTGGGGGCAACCACCACGTTGTTGAACGTGGTTTGGCATAAAAATACATTCACTCGTACTCGTGCGGCAGCACATGGCTAGTGCTTCTGCTGCAGAGTGAAAATTTAATTTGTATAGGCCGAAAAATATACCGCACCGTGTGTAGGCAACAACCACTCCGGTTGCTGTGCTTCTATCGTTAATGCTCTTTGACCACCCAACCGACCAAACATCGACCAGCAAGCAGCCACCCACACGCTTCTGATGCATACGGATCCCACAGGATCTGTGATATTGTAAAACAGCCAAGCCCCTGTCAAGATCTGGTTACCCTACCTCCGACCTGAAAAAAGAAACCATCTGCCCGCGGGGACTTTCGTGCGACTTAACCCATATTCAATACCAAGCGAGTTTGGTGTGAATTTGAGTGCCCGATTTTGTTTTTGCAGAGCTACGTGTCCTTCCAAAAGCCACTGCGACGACGCTAGGAAGAAGAAATAACCGTGTGAAAAACCCTCTCTCTCGAGTGGGGCATTGAGTCGAAGTGTATCGTAAAAGCACAATAGATTATGTTAATGTTGATCCCCTTTGCCTTCGGTCGAGTTCGTGTACATCAAATCAACAACGGGAGTGCTGTGTCAAACCGCTCGGAAAATCAGTGCCATATACAACTAGTCAAGTAAGGAATTGGAAATCTTTCCCAAAATGAAGAAAAGTGTCAATAGTCTGTCACCGATATCGCCGCTGCCGAACACCCCTCCCCCAGTGCGGACTTCCCCGGTGGGGTCAACCTCGCCGAAGCTCTCGCCTGCCGGTTCGGTGTTCCTGTCCAACTCAGCCTCCCGCCCTACCCTGAGTATCAACAATTCCAGCAATCGCTGCAGTAGCCTTCTGGACGCGGACGACATCACTCCGATCACCTCCCCGCTGCCAAACATCCTCTGTCCCCAGGAAATCTACACCATCTTCAGCCGGACCGATGATCCGGATGCCGGCTCGACCAACCTCCCGGCGGAGTCATCCCGCCTGTCGGCGAACAATCACCGGAACTCAATATTCCTGGCCAATGCCAACATTGCTAACGGTAACAATAATCCAAGTGCCAGCAGTAAGTCCCGTTCGCGGCGATCTTCGGAACTGTCGCAAAACATTCGCAGCGACCGGTCGGCGTCGGCTTCGATGAAGTCGCACAGTTCGTCCGCCGGCAGGAAGCGCAGCTCGACGCACATAGAGATGAACGCCAACCTCGAACGGCCCCGGTGCCTCAAGTCGTCCTTCCTCCGACGGAAGTGTAAGGAGTATGCAGGTGAGTTGCGATTGACCGGGGATGTTTGTAGATTAATTCAAAAAGGTTTTGCAGGTGATGGAAGGTGGAGATTTTCAACTACGTTGAATCACGATAAAATGGCTTTAAATCCTTAGAAATCCTTAAGTAGTACGATTTGTTGCAATGTGAAGCATATATGTACAATAGAGTGGTTCAAAATATCGATTTTGCTGCACCATGCTCAATTGATTTCAAATCAGGTCCTGAAAAATCTCTCATAATATATTGGATGTGAACCTATACTGCACTGACCCTTTGAAGTTTATGTGGGAATTGATATAGGAAGAGTTAACTTTTTGTTCTTATCGTTCTAGCCCTTCACAGTAATGATCTGCGGAAAAGTTGGTTATCGGAACTAATTGGAAAGATTATACTCTTTTGATATGCTCCATAAACTGATCAGCGGGCAACATTAGTGTGCTTGGTGCGAAGAATAGGGCAAACAATCCAGTGTTGCGTATAATAGGGCTACTATGCAGTTTTGCCCTGAACGCAGTCGATTAATCATATCAGAAGGTTATCGGTTTCGAAATCAATTAATAGGGGAAATGGCTCGAATGTTGGCCTATGGATCTAAGACTGTGCCCCTAGCTACAAATCTGCTATTTATCAATATTATCTAGATGAACGCGTCATTGGGACGGTACTAATGGATATTTTTGGTCACTGAAAATTTAGTACACACTTAATTTTTTCTACCGAGCTCGGCTGTGCAAATCTCGGCAAAATAAGTTTCACTGAGATCTCAGCAAAAGTGACATTTGATTGCTGAGTCTCGGATAACGCTTAGCTGAATCTCAGCAAACAAATGAAATGTTTGCTGATATCTCAGTAAAACTTTTTTTGCCGAGATTTGCACAGCCGATCTCGGTAGAAAAATCTAAGTGTGTAGATTGTTGAATTTATGTATGGGCCCAAATTAGGGGCATTTAGGCCGACATTACATCCATTTCCCCTAACTAATTACCTTGAAGTTTAATCAAAAACTGGTCTTGGGTAAAGTTGCAGCACAAAAAATTTTACATAAGAGTAGATTGCTAGCTTTTACGTTAATCATTATGGCGAAGTGCAAGATTGTTGAGAACAAAATGTTAATTTTTCCCATAGTGATTCCCTTATAAACTTCAAAGGGCCAGAGCAGTGCAGTGAATTCGCATCCAAAAAAACTCAATTTTTGGGAATATTATCAGGACCCACATTATCGTTTACGTTCGAACCGTTTTTTCCTTGCTAAAAAAATGTCTTTGTATGGAAAATATGCAGGGTGTCGACTGCTTGGAAAAACCTGGGAAATCAGGGAATTCTTTTTTGGACCTGGAAAATCAGGGAATTTCATTCATAGTCAGGGAAATATTCCTTTTTGACAGGAACATATGAATAAGTATGGCAAACTTCGCTAATTTCAAAAAACTAAGAAGATAATGATTTTTTCTAGTTCTAGTTCTTGTTCCTTATTGTGTTCTTAACAGCTTGATTAGCTTAGAGAACTATTTAAATGATAATGGTCTTGCTTGGGATGTTTTTACCCTTCTTACAAAGAAGGGTATAGATATCACTTGAAAAACCGACTATCGATCCGAGGCCCGGAGGGCCGAGTGTCATATACCATTCGACTCAGCTCGACGAGATCGGAACATGCCTGTGTGTATGTGTGTATGTGTGTGTGTATGTAACGAAATGAATGCACTCACGTTTCTCAGCAACCGCTCAACCGATTTGGACAAACATTGAACGCTATTGGACGGTTTTGGAATCGGTGAACCGGTTCCGGAGATATGGCCGGAATAAGATCCGATGGATTTAACGGAAAACGTATCAAAACCATCATGCGACACATCAAATTACTACAGAATTCAAAAATAAGATCAATGCAAGTCGTGTTAATTGTTCCAGACCACATTGGACACACTTGGACATGTTCCGGGTACCCCGGGGAAGTTGCTTGAATATGAATTGAATTAAAACCCATTAAATCACATTAAAATACGATGATAAGGTGATTGGTAGCCTCACCAAATAGACTACACCCGGATATATTCCGGGTACCCCCAGGCAGTGGCGTAGCGTCACTGGATGACACGGGGGTGGGGGGCTTGGTCACTGATAATGACAATAAAATAAATAAACTTGAATAAGTAAGAAGGGTCTGATTACACCATAGGTGGATAAATTCGGGTTTTTTTATTACTTTGAGTAGCAATTCTATGATTGAATAATGATTCAAAGATACGTAGACAAGCATTGCATTGGTTAGCTCGTAAAATTAGCTTCACAGTAAAGTTTTAGTATGGTAATGATGCTGCTATTGCAATTTAGATGGAATTAACTTACAGAACTTTGGAGATGAAAGCATTGTTTTTAATTTTTACCACCGGAGGAATCCGCCCGCGAATTAGCTTTTGGTTAAGCATATTATCCGGAATTCTTTTCATACGGAGCTGGGTCTCAAAATGTGCTCAAGGCAAAACAAATATAATAGGATTAAAAACAAGTGTTTCATATGTGAAATGCAGAGCGACCAGTGAACCGGGAAAACCGGAAAAAGTTGGAATTTGAAGTCACCAGGAAAATCCCATGAATTTAGTTGATAAATCTGCAAAAATAAACCTCGTCCTATCTTCGAAAACAATAAGATTTCAAGACCCTTGGACTGGTCTAGATTTTCAGGATAACTACAGTCACTTTGAAGAACAATTAAAGGAATTTTAGAATTTTTTTCCAAAGCAAATTTGAGCTGATTTTAGAATGAATTCCAGAGATAACACCAAGGTATTTCAGAGAATATTTTATAGGTAGCTTTAGGAAAACCTCTAGAAGAGTTTTTACTAGACCTCTCAAGAATGAAGAGGATTCCAGGAATCTTGAAGAATACCAAGGAACACGAATTTTTAGGGTAAAATTCCAAAATAATAATCTATAAGGATAGTCCGAGTATAATTCCAAGCGCATTTCGAAAGGAATTTCTAGAGAATGCTAAAGAGAATTCCATGCAATGTTCAGAAGAATTTAGAGGAGCTTTCCAAGATAGTTCTGAGCAAAATTTGAAGACAATTCTCGACGGGAGAATTTCAACCTACCAGATGGTGTTGGCAGGGAAGTTTTGCTCACAAAAGCTAATAGGCCCTTTTAAATTGTTGGTCTGAGGTGAATTCTACTGAGAATTTCATGTAACTTTAAAAAAATTGAATCTCCAATGAATTCTTAGAAAGAGTTTAAATTTCGAAGAAAGGATGAATTTTAAGAATTTTTTGGAGTGTTCTACAGAGAATTTCTGTACTATTATAAAAACAAATTCAATGGATTTCCAGAGAGAATTTCAAATTTGATTAAGAAGAATTCTGGAGAGATCTCTGTGGAAGGATATGAATCTAAAGGAAAGGCTTGAGGACAATCAATGTAATGTTTTGAGCGAAATTTTTATACCCAAATTGTGAATACTTCGTACCTGTCGCATATCCGAATTCTTGATCCAGCAAAGGTGCTGCTGTCTTATAAATTACCCATTTAACCTTCGGCTTCATCGCTTTAAGTTTTGTGCTTAATTAAAATACCTAAACCGCGATAATTTCCAAAATTCCGGGAGAAAAACGGTAAAATTGCTAATCGAGATTTGCTGGTCACCATGAAGATGATCTGGAGATTTGGATGAATGTATGCCCCTTGGGTAGAATACGGATCCTTCCCGTTTTTGGTAACACGAGAATTATGTCTTTTTTGCATTCTATAAAATGTATGGAACGCTTCATTTAATTTGAAATTCTACTGGACCACCATGCTTGGCATGCATAGTTGTACACACCAACTGTTCATTTTTTAATAACTTTTCACTCAGTTGTTGAAATTTGTTTTTCTTAAAAGTAATTGATAGATTAGGATCATAGTTTATTATAAATAAGCAATGAGTAGGTAGATGTTAACATTTTAATCATCGTTAATGAAATTTTAAACTTTAAGTCCGAGATGTGCAACGAGCATTTCTCACTTCATTTTTACAGCGTAAAAACAAATACAGTTTATTACTAGAATTAAAATCTACTTTTTTTACTAATCTATAACAAGCTTAAACTCTATTCTATTTATTGCTTAAAAAAACTATGCTTTGTCTACTGTGTGCAAAGTTATTCTCAAATGAGCAATTCGTGTATGTGTATGTGTATGTGTATGTCAAGCATGTGGACTTAGAGGTTCATGTGGTATTTTTGAAAAAAAAAATGCACATAAAGCAGTAATATATCCTGAGGAAAGTTATAGCTGATGGGGTTCTGCTGCCAAAACCGGGTAGGCACTGCACCTGGATTTTTTTTTTTTTTGAAAATTACTGGAAAATCAGGGAATATCAGGGAATTTTGTTTTCTTCGTTGAGTCGACACCCTGATACGATTTGAACGACTTCAATAATATCGTAGATTAGCCGGTTCATGTAAAAGTACTCGGAACATCTCCGAAAAAAATTAAACATTTATCTTAAATATCTCTAAACTTTATAAAAGTTTTAGGAATCTTCCTTAGTTTCTTGAAACTTCTGTAAAATTACTGCAAGAAGTTTATGAACTGCCCTGAGGATATCTGATCTTCCCTTATTCTTCTAAAGTTATTGAAACTGTACAGAAAAATCGCGCTAAAAATATTTAAACTTCCTTGAAAATCTCCAGAATTTCATCTTTAAATTTCTCTAACGTCAGAACTTTCCTGAAGGCATTTGCACTGCTCTTAAGGTATCTGAGCTTCCGAAAATATCATTGGATCTCACTTTCCGGAGGTTTTGAAATTTACCTAAATTTTTACTATTTTCCTCAAGTATTTGAAGTTATCCTATCTTCTCTTAAGTGCTCTCTATATTCTTGAAGTTCTTAGAACTACTTAAAAGTTCCTGCAGCTTCCCTGAAGCTGATAGAACTGCTTTGAAATGCTTAAAGTTTCCCTGAAGCTGCACTGTTTCCCCAGAAATTTTATAAAAGTCCTTGAAACTCCCCTTATTATCCACACGTCTGTTAATAAAACTTCCCGAAAACCTCGATATCCCC